ACTCATCTTTCTTCCATGGAGCAGCTGGTAGGTGTAGTACCACCAACCTTTTGATTGGCAGCCTGATGTCTTAACCACTATACCACCAGAGTTCCTCATGCATATGCTAGTATATATATATACATACTCAAAAACAATTGCTGATAATTAATTTCACAAGTAAATGAACATAGCCATCTATTGCTGTCTGGGTGGCATAATTCTAAAATATAATACCCTCATTTTTCCACGTTTATATCTTACTACAGTGCTTAACACATTTTATTGTAATTATTTGTTTATATCTTACCTATGTGAATGAACTGTGGATTTATCTAGGCTAAGAATCTTCTTATTCGTTTGTAAGTCTAACATTAGTCCCATTGCCTGTTTATAATAAAGTACTCAATAAGTGTTTCAATGAATAAATAAAATACTGACTTTAAGTGTGTTTTTTTTCCTCCCCCCCCCCCTTTTTTTTTACTATTCAGAATTATGGCTTGGAAACAGAAAATCTAAAAACCCTTTCTCACAAGTTGAATGCATCTGCCAAAAATCTACAGAATTTTATAACAGGAAGGAGAAGAAGTGGCCATTATGATGGGAGAACCAGCCGAAAATTGCCAAACGACTTTCTGACCTCAGTTGTAGATCTGATCGGAGCAGCTAAGAGTCTGCTTGCCTGGTTGGACAGGTAAAATTTTTTACATGCTTAATAGGTTGCCCTTCCTCAGATACCATTTAAATGTAATGTTCTTTCACATTTTCTTCCAAAAGTATGTGAATAGGTGCAGGAATAATAAGCAATAAATGACTAATTATGATTCACCATAATATAGGGTATCATCAAATAGTTGTTCATTTTTTCTAAAATTTTATACCCAGCCAAGTAGCTAATCAATAATTAGTCCCTGACAATTACAAAATGCTCTCACTACTTCATATGTCATTATTTGACTGTTGTTGTTGTTGTTATATGCCCTCGAGTTGGGCCCAACTCATAGCAACCCCTCCTTGGGTTTCCAAGGTGGTATCACTATGGAAGTAGATTGCCCAACCTTCCTTCTGAGGAGTGGCTGGTGGGTTT